TCACTCCTCCCATGCTGATGGAGTGAACTGGAAAGGCTGGAAAGGACATTATTACTCTCTAAAGAGAACCGAGATGAAAATAAGACCAGTGGATTTCTGAACTGTCATGTTTATGGCACAACAATGATACAGTACCAACTTAACCAAAAAGACGAGTGTCCCGATCAAGTCTATTCATTAAATAATCACTCTTAAATTGGAGCTTAGCGAGATGTCGTTCAGGATATTTCTTGCTCCTTTGCGTGTGTTTTTCAAAATAGGAATAGTTGATTGTGTAAAATCGGCCAGTTAGCTGATAATAATAATCACATGATAGTAATAATAATGACTTAATCTATATAGCGGTACATACAAAAAGCTTCTTATCATAGTTGGAAATTGACAGTTAATCATAAGTAGCTCTGAAAAGATGCGTCTTTAATCGTTTCTCAAGAAAAAAAGAAACTAATGGACTCAAGTTAAGGATTATATGTGAGACATTCTATAGCCTGGGGGCAGTGGCTGAAAAGACCCTGTCTCCACACTGATTTTAAATGGGTCTGAAGTATTCACAAGAGTTATACAAGGTTTAATTATTTAAATTTTTTACTCGTATTTTCACTCAACGGAACACAAAGCAATCACACAGCCTTCATTTTTTCTTAGTCAATATCAGAAGAGTAAACCCAGTCGCTAATTCAGTTTTAGTTCCCTTTAATTTCTATAACGAAACCCCAAATAATTACCCAATGTTTTGACTTTAGAGGAACGCTTTCAGAAAAACAAATATTTCAAGTTCTAGTGTACACTGGAATGCGGTAAGGTAATGTCTATGATTCTAAAATGCTTCATTTCTTGCTTTTATTTGTATTTTCTCAGCTTTTTTGAGAGTGAATACCTTGCACTGTTATTGATAGACTTACGACACTTTTGATCATAAGAGTACATTGTCACGCCTAAGGCCCATTTTGTAGATATGGCTCATCAGGTGATTATGTTACATACACAGTTTGTAGAAATACCAAAAATAAGGATAAGAAGGTGAAATTTCTTTTGTTTTGTTCCCCCTAGCCTCGGAGCCATGTTAAAATTTCGATACTTCGAAAGTGGCGTATCGGATCACTTGTGATCATTGGTTCCCAGGCTAAAAGAGAACTCCTTACAGCTTTACTTATAAGTGTTAAAATCTTGATACATAAAAAGTTTTCGATTCTTCACAATTTGAATGCGATGGGGAACGAAATCAAGAAACCAAGACCATTATTTTGGCTCGTTCTGCGGCTATGGCGTCCAACTCGTGTAAGGTTTTTAATTTAGACGTGAGTTTGTCCATATCTTTAGGTGCACGCCCCAGGTACTGAAGAATCTGCAGGTAGCTTTCCACCATCCACGCTCTAAAACTCATGGCTCTAGGGACAACAAGAAATTTGTTAGTGACAGGCTCAAACGATTCACCTTCGTTTCACCCTTTACATCCTAACATCAGGATGCATGTTCTCCATACTGCTCTCCTTACATTTCCTAAGATGATGACAGGGAGAATTTGTTTAACAATCAAGAGCTTCTCTAGTTGGTGATCATTTACTTTCTTCTCATGACCTTAATGTTTGATCCAGGGTCAATAATGTCAGGAGAAAGGAGATTTTTCTCTGTTGAACGTCCACGACCAATAATGCTGCGCATTGATTTTTAGGATTTGCTGTTCGGATTGTTAAATTTAAGGAAATTTACAGATTATGAACACAACGTTTCGACTGCTTACTAAGTCTTCTTCAGGCGATGGAGTCGACTGGTTGTGATAACTTGTGATCATTGTTTCCAGGCTGAAAGAGGGATTCCCACAGCTTTGTTTTCTTATAAATGATTAAAATACTGCTCTCTATACATTTCCTAAGATGATGACAGGGAGAATTTGTTTAACAATCAAGAGCTTCTTCAGTTGGTGATCATTTCATTTCTTCTCATGACCTTAATGTTTAACTCAGGGGCAATAATGTAAGGAGAAATTAAATGCTAGTAGTAGCATAAAATCAGCACAGATTCAATGAAAGCCGATTACCGGCAGTGTCTCTCCGCATATAAAACCCCTTACCGCCGTCTGTTTAGCCCACGATCTGGCTCTTGTGTTTGAGTTTTGGGTTTAAAAACTATCAGATGCTAGTCGTAAAACGAATGCCGGGTGGGACGTGATGTAGCAGTATCATCCAATAACTGGAAGTACAATAATCGGAAGTAGAGTCGTAGCAGAGAACCGGAAGTCAGAACACTTTAAAGACAAGGAATGTAGAAATGTCGTTCGAACTGGCGGGCTCCCTATGCAATAATAACTCGTTTTGCAAACCATAAAAATTCTACATGGAATATATGATGAGAACGACAAGAAATGTTACTTCAGGCGATAGCACTGGGAAGAACTTCCTCCTTATTTGGAAAACATAATTACCTTATTCTCACATCGAGGACGTATATGATTCCAAGATTGTATTTACTTTCGACCATAGACTACTATGCTTTATATGGCCGTAAATTCCCGCAATGGCGCTGCAGTAAAAGGTAAAAAAGTTAACGTCTGAACCAGTCGCTACCGTGGAAACTTTTGAAATTTTCCAGAACTGGACCTATATTTATACTGGTAGATTAACTGGAAATTTCTTTTCTCACCTTCGAAGTACTTCGGTAAAAAAACAATCAAAAACCGTGAAAGAAAAAAAAAAACAGAGAGAAGACCGCGGAATACAAATATTTTTTCACAAACTATCTGGCCATGAGAACAAATCTATCCATTGGCTCTCCTAGTTCCTGATTAATGTGTCGCACTGTGTTTAAGTTCCTGAAAAAAATAGTGAGAGAGGACAAGGTTGAATACGAAGCAAACACTTTTCATTGGCGGTAGCCTGGGAGAAAGGGTAGGGAGGAGAAGAAAGGGAAGGATATAGAATTTAGTTCCACAGGAAAAAGCTCGAATCTCTAAAGCATCCCACCAGTTATCGAAGGGGATGTGGGTGGGGTGGGGGTTTGATACGAATCAAGGGCTCCGATATTGTTCTCTGTTCAACGTCCACGACTAATAAAGCTAACGGTATTTATTGACCACGTCCATGTCCATGACTTTCTTATTGATATTTTTTTTAAATAAAGTTTTCTCAACGCCCCACGCCAAGCCGATAGCAACCGAGAGATAACTTAATATCCCCGTGAAGTAGATCAGAGGTAGATTAAACGATTAGATTAGATTAATCTAAACGAGATGAATATGACGACTGACATTTGATACTTTTTAGGTAGTTAGGTTCGTTTCGTTTCGATCGTTTTGCTTTGGTCATTTCAGTTCGGGTTTTTTGTAAATGTCAATCATTTTCATGTTATTATTTCTTCATCCTGGTTGCCTGGGAAACAAGAGTAATTTTGATGAGAGCATTTTTTGTAAGATACTTTTTAAATTGGAAAATCATAACCATATAACTCCTGTAGTATACTAGGACAGCGGTTGTTTATGTAAAAGTATACATCCGGGAAAGTGTGAGCGCGGGAAGATTATTAAAGAAACGTGTACTGTGTGTACTGTTGTTGTTCGCCTTCGTGGCTGCCTTTTGTGGCATACTTCTTCATTTTTAGACACTACAAATTGGCGACGAGGATGGCGAATTCAGTAGAAAGGGCGCTTCCACCTCTAGATTTAACAGGGTCTTCCTCTCAGGTCGCGGAACGATGGCGACAGTGGAAACGATCGTATCAGTATTACATCGATGGCAAGGGAATTACGAATCCTTCTCGGAAAACAGCTCAGTTACTTCATTTAGCAGGTATGGAAGTACAAGATATTTACGAAGATATTCCAGATCCTGGACCACTGAATGCTAACGAGGATAATGAGTATGTGGTGTGTCTGCGAAAGTTGGATGCTCATTTCCGAGCCGAGGACAATGTACCGTACGAGCGTCATGTCTTTCGTCAACTTACGCCGACAAAGGGAGAGACCGCCGATAAGTTCATGGTTCGTTTACGTAAACAAGCTCGTCATTGTAATTTTGGTCCAACTTTGGAAGAAATTTACGGGATCAATTGATTGAAAAGTTGCCTAATGTTGAGCTAAAGAAGAAGCTATTGGAAGTCGTTAATATTACTCTGCAAGCAGCAATGGATAAAGTTCGAAAGTGGGAAGCCTCACACGAGCAGGCAGGTCAAATGGTCATGCCAAGACAAGAACCTGGAGCAGGTACTCATGCAGTTGAAGAACGTCCTGGGCGTGGAGACAAAGGGAAAAGCGTTTGTTTCAACTGTGGTAAAGAAGGTCATTTTGCCCAAAGTACAAATTGTCCCGCCCGAGGTCGCAAGTGCAGCAAGTGTGGTAAATATGGTCATTATGCCAGCTGTTGCAAAGGGGGAAGGAACTCGAAGCCTGGAAAACAAGGTAACAACCAACAACGGGGAGGCAGACAGCAGCGTCATGGTAAGGGGAGACAGGCAAATCATGTTGAGGGTCATTGTAACGAGTCAGGTGAGGATGACAGTTTTGCTTTTACTATAGAAGAACAGACATGTGCTATGTCAAATTCCTCTGAACCCGTTATCTCAGTGAAGATTGGTGGAATCAGCAGAGATGTGTTGATTGATTCAGGTTCTGCAAGTAACCTCATTAGTAAAGATACACTGCAGGAACTTAAGTATCAGGGGCTCAAGATTGAATTAAAACCTTGTCTGAAGAGATTGTATGCTTATGGGGGTCGAGAGCTTAAAATTGAGGGCCAGTTTCAGACAGAAGTTTCCGTACCCAAAGCAAAGGTTGTGGCAGATTTCATTGTTGTTGAATCCGGGCGTTGTTTGCTGGGATATTCGTCCGCCACAGATCTTGGAATCCTTCGTGTGGATCTCTCGGGAACTCTTGGGACAGGAGACTGTAACACTGTTGATGGTACCTTCGTGGGAGGACTCAAAGCAAAATACCCCAGGGAATTGGAAAGCTTAAAGATTATCAGTTGAAGCTACACATTGACCCCAGTGTAACTCCAGTCGTTCAAAAAATGCGACGAGTACCTTTTTCTGTAAAGGACAAAGTAACTGCCAAGGTTAACGAACTCCTTGAAAAGGACATAATTGAGAAAGTCGAGGGGCCTACGGTGTGGGTAAGCCCAGTCGTTGTTGCTCCTAAACCGTCCGGGGACATAAGGTTGTGTGTCGACATGCGGAGAGCCAACGAGGCCATTATTCGGGAAAGATTGCCCATACCAACCATAGATGAAGTCCTTGAAAGTCTTAATGGGAGTGGTGTTTTCTCGAAGTTAGATTTAAGGTGGGGTTTTCACCAAATTGAGCTGGATCCTGATTCAAGGGATATCACTGCTTTTGCCACCCATGATGGTATATTCCGCTACAAACGTTTGAGTTTCGGTGTAAATGCCGCACCAGAGAAGTACCAGCATATCATCACCCAGTCAATGGCAGGTCTACAAGGGGTGTCAAACATAGCAGATGATCTTATCGTTCATGGTCGAGACACTGAAGAACATGATAAGAACTTACACAGTGTGTTGCAACGTCTTAGTGAGAAGCAGCTGACTTTGAATGCTGAAAAATGCACTTTCCGAATGACTAAAGTGGTATTCATGGGTCTTTTGCTGAGTAAGCATGGCATCGGCCCAACGGAGGAAAAAGTCAGAGCAGTTGCAGAGGCAAGTCAGCCTCAGACACCCTCAGAAGTCCGTAGCTTCTTGGGGCTCGTTGGATTCAGTGCCAGGTTTATACCCGATTTTGCTACCACTGCTGATCCCCTCAGAAAACTTGCAAGAAAAGGGGAACCGTTCGTTTGGGGCAAGGAGCAGGAGCAGTCGTTTCAGAGATTGAAGAGTCAAGTTGCAAGTGCACCAGTCCTAGCTTACTTCGATAAGGACACACCCACCCGTGTTATTGCTGATGCAAGTCCTGTTGGACTTGGCGCCGTGCTGGTGCAAGAAAAGAATGGGGAAAGCCGTGCCATCTGTTATGCTAGTCGTAGTTTGAGTCAAGTGGAGCGTCGTTATAGTCAGACAGAAAAGGAAGCACTAGCCTTAGTCTGGGCTTGTGAACGCTTCCACCTCTACTTGTACGGGCTTCCACAGTTTGATCTGGTGACAGACCATGAAGCACTTAAAGTCATCTATTCCAGGAAGTCTAAACCTTCAGCCAGAATAGAGCGCTGGGTTCTGCGTTTACAACCGTACAACTATCAAGTTTGCTATGTGCCTTCAAGAAAAACATCGCAGATGCCCTTTCCCGACTGACGAAGATACCGGCGTCAGACAATTCCGCGGAAGATGATGGATATGTACGCGCGATAGCTCTACATGCTGTCCCCGCTGCATTGAGAATCAAAGAGATTGAACAAGTCTCAGCACAAGACTCTGAGTTGCAAGCACTCAGAAATTGTCTCATCGAAGGGAAATGGGACAATGCCCCAAAGCAGTATTTGCCAGTGCGCAATGAGTTGACTTTTATTGGCCATGTAATTCTCCGGGGGACAAGAATTGTTATACCCCAAGCACTTCGCAAGAGAGTCGTTAGTTTGGCACACGAGGGGCACCAAGGAGTCACAAAGACAAAGGAGAGACTTAGAACAAAAGTCTGGTGGCCTGCTATGGATCGTGATGCCGAGAAAAGATGTGCAGAGTGTTACGGGTGCCAGATGGTTACAAAGAACGTTCCACCCCCACCATTGAAGTCAACACCGTTACCCAACAAACCATGGGAAGAAGTAGCTGTGGATCTAATGGGTCCGTTACCTTCTGGAGAACACTTGTTAGTTCTCGTTGATTATTACAGCCGGTGGATAGAAGTTGATGTTATCCGAACAACTTCCAGCAAAACCATCATTCATTGCTTGGATGCCCAATTTGCAAGACATGGGTTGCCTAAAGGTCTGCGTACCTACAATGGCTCAAATCTTGTATCCAAAGAAGTAGAAGATTACCTGAATGAAATGGGGATTGAACACCGTTACACAACACCTCTATGGCCAAGAGCTAATGGCGAGGTAGAGAGGCAAAACAGGTCGCTTCTTAAGTCCATGAGAGCAGCCCATGCAGAAGGACAGAATTGGAGAGAGGAACTAAACAGGTTTCTTTTGGCGTACAGGTCCACGCCACATTCAACCACAGGAAAGAGTCCCGCCGAGTTATTGTTTAGGAGAAAGCTAACAACTAAAATGCCTGAGCTAGTCAACGTTGAAGAGGAGGAGCTAGAAGTGAGCGACCAAGCCGTTCGTGATCGGGACAATCAGAGAAAGCAGTTTAACAAGGACTATGTGGACAAGAAGTTCCATGCCAGAGATCGAAATGTGAAAGAAGGAGACAGTGTTCTGCTTGAGAAGAAGAAAGAAAATAAGCTGTCACCTTGCTATGAGAAGGAACCATATCAGGTGATATCTCGTTATGGGGACCAGGTGGTGTTGCGATCGCCTCAAGGTGTCCAGTACCAACGCAGCCTTCAGCATATTAAGTCCTTTAATATGCCAGATCCAGAAGAACAGGAAACGCCACAACAGGACGCTAAACCACGGACTGAACCTAAGTCATTTGAGACGCCACCTGTGGCAGAGGATCAAGTACCAATGGCTGAATCACCACCAGAAGATGTACCTTCTACTGTACCTACAGCTGAGCCGCATGTGAGAAGATCCGGCAGAATTACGAGCCGTCCAAAGGCTCTGAGTGACTACGTTCTGTACTAAAACTAGTGACATTGGCATTTTCATATTACTGTTCGTTGTTATTACATGAGTGACATTGAAACGTTGTTTTATAAGCTGAACGGCCAAGGCTATGTTTATGTTTAGCGTGATTTTTGTCTTGAACATTTGGAATCGAATTGAACTTTTACGGTATCTAAACAAAGTGGAAGTTTGTTATGTTTCTGTCTTTCGAGGTCAACCATCTGAGCGAAGAAAGAGAGGGAATGTAGTATACTAGGACAGCGGTTGTTTATGTAAAAGTATACATCCGGGAAAGTGTGAGCGCGGGAAGATTATTAAAGAAACGTGTACTGTGTGTACTGTTGTTGTTCGCCTTCGTGGCTGCCTTTTGTGGCATACTTCTTCATTTTTAGACACTACAACTCCGGAGGAAAATGCGACACATTGTGTAGTTGTAAAGATTAATATTTTCACAAATTTTCAATTTGAAAGACATAAAACCGGTCATAACACTCCAATTATCTCCAGGGAAAATAGGAAAATATTGTTTAGTTCAAAAACTTCTTGTATGTCCCGCTGTTTGACCAAATAATTTGCAGCTTTGTCAGCGGTATGGTCGCCAAATAATGATCTCTAGGAGAATGGATTAATTAAGTTTTTTTGAATGGTTGGTAGGGAAAACAATAGACTCCACACAGGAAATGTGATTTACGGAAGTGATCGATCGGGCCGGAAATAGAGCATTAACAACGATAAATTTGAAATGTTCTCATTGTTGTTACTGTTGTTTTTGTTTTATTTTGCGTGGAAGGTTAACCTGTAAAAGAACTTGTTTGGAATGTTTTCATTGTTAAGAAGATCAAGGAAAAATTAGAAAAAGTGTTTTAGGGGTATGTCGATTATGAGGGGGAAAAAATGGGTGTTTGAGAGTTTCAAAACATCGCTGTTTCTCTTTGTCTTGTAGTCATCCCGGCTCAAGTGCAGTCACCTGTGCAATCATCAGCTTTTGTATCGGGAATAGAAGCAGTAGGCCGTCTCTGGAGTCTAAACCAATCGCTCCTAGAGTTTGCCATTGATCTTTTTCATTTCCTTTGAGCCCAATTCTCTTAAAGGAGATGAAAATGCTCGCTCAAAGTCCATATCTACTAACTAACTAGCTTGCGATCGATTTACCACGCGCCGGAACCTGAAAACAGCGTAAAAGCTGCGTAAAAGGCAATGATCTCTTATTCCTTTTTCTTTCACTTCCAAACTTGCAGAAGCACTAAAAGCATCATGACTACAAAAAATATCGGTATTTTCTTCTGGTTTATAAATTACACTTTCGATTAGTTACGATGAGTCGTAAGTTCACTCACACAAAATCAGATTACGTTCTTCGCTTCTTCCGCTGGCGCAGTGGACCATGTGCTCTATTTTGACAGGCATAGAAGTCAACTGGAAGCAATAAATAAATTAAAGAAAGCACGAAACCATAACGTTTTTTCTATTGATACCGCCAAGAACAAAACCAAGTTTGAAAAAAAAATTTTCGCTCAGAAGGTAAAAATCTATCCATATTTCTTAGACCAAAAAGCCTTTCTTACTCAGACCAATTGCGCTGTTTGCAGAAATTATCGAGAAAGATTTTGAATAAAATTCTGTTAATTCAGCCACAGGATATTTCACATTCTGTCACATCCTTCAGAGTTATTACAAATGTTTTTTTGTTGTTTTTTTTTGGCTGAAGTTCTCAAATGCCATCCGAAAATCATAGAATGCTTGGGACCAGTCCAACTAAAATAAAATCGAGAATGTTAATGCAAACTACCGAGCTCAACTACCATGAGCAAGACGATTCATAAAAAACTCAGGCCTCTGCACTTTCAAGTTGCAGCAAAGTTAATCATGACTTGATGTTAATAGTTTGCAATGCTGTTCTATCGTTCTAGAGAATTTTTTGAGATAAAGTAGGACAAATTATTAAAAGTTTGTATTTAAGAAGTGATCTGACATCTTTGGCGGCAGTAAGTCTGCAAAATATTTGTTCCTCGATCTCAACTTAATTGCCGCATGTAGAAAGGATAAATTATTGAAAGTTTGTACTTCTGAAGGGATCTGACATCTTTGTCGGCGGCAAGTCTGTAATGGCAACATAATTGAACGAAGTATTTGCCTTCGAATTTTTGTGATAATGAAGAGTCTCTTTATGTAGACAAGGCTGGCAAATAAATACCGAACACCTGCCTAACATTTGTCAACATTCAAATTCAGAGGAAGATTTATATTTTGGGACGCTTACTATCATATTTTTTAACCTTAAATTAACAATTCAGTTTAATTTATAGCGATGCAGTTCAAGTTTTCTCTTCAACCGATCATTAATATTCTCTATATCTTCCAAGGAATTATTCTCCCACCATGTTTCTGTTGCACGGGTGAGTATAAATCCCTTTTATAAATTTCTTGTGTTTCATCTTTCTGGCGTCGTTTCCTCAAAACCATTTAACGAACTACATACGCTACCTGCTTATCAGAGCAAATAATGTTTAAGCAGACAATCTTTATTCAACTATCATGTCTTCTTTTATGGAATAGAAGATACAAAAAAAAGTCAAATTTCAAAAATACCTCACCACATGCGCATCAATGGCTCATGATCAAAATGACGAACTAAAAAAAATCGGTTCACAGATATCGTGGTATGGTAATGAACGCTATGAAAATAATTCCTGATGTTTTTTTCTTTCCGCTGATCGATTCACAATCCAAGATTAATTTTTGGTAATGAAAGCCTCCCTGTTAAGTTGAATTTTCAAGGGAAAATTTGTCAGGCTTCTCACGCAGTAAAGTTTTAAAATAAAGTGGTTTAATGTTTCAACAATGAAAATAAGAAACTACCATAAGTGAGTGGAAACTAAGCGATATATTTGTTTTGCCTACTACAGACGACGATTGTCGACATATTATATTCAAGGACCCAATACCGAACATGGCCATGAAAAATCACGCGATCAAAAGTGTAGAGGTGCCCAACGAAGGAAGTTGCCGAGTAATGTGTTATATGGAACCTAATTGTGTGTCCATCAATATTGGACCTGTTGCAGTAGGAAACCAAAAATGCGAGTTGAATAACGCCACGGAGGAAAACCATGCTCCATTTCTTCTCGTGAAAAATCCGGGTTACACATATCTTGCAATCGAGGTAATAGCCCACATTCTTACGAAACTAAAGGGAGTCAGATACAGAAGAGATTGTTTCTTTTTCTAAGGGTAAAGTGATCTTATTCTTGAAATAAGGAAGATCTGCACAAAAGTTTACTTTGTTTTGTCAACAGAATCCATGTAGTAGCAGCCCATGCTCAAACAGTGGCACCTGTCAAGCTGGATTTACCTATAAAGGTTTTCGTTGTGTCTGTTGGGAAAGATTCACTGGAGAAACCTGCCAAGTTGAAGGTGAAATGGCTGCACTATGTGGGCCAGTCTCTCGTGTAGTAAGTGAGGAGTTACTCACTAAAGTCCCAAACTTAACTTCAAGAACAAAATATTAAACGCTTAGGTGAAGCTTAAAAGGAAAAGCCTATTACTGTAACTTTAAATGAATATAGCTGGCAGATATTAAAGAAGAAATGGTATTTGTTAATGTTCAGAATCAAATTTTATCAGCCGGAGCAATAGTCAGGAAAGCAAATAAAAAGCAGTCAACATCCAAACAGTTTAAAGTTGGCGTTCTACTTTGTTTTTTGTTTTTAATGATTTTCAGTCAAAAGAAACTGCGCAGAAATCTACAAATCCGCGGCTAACACTACTGACGGTGTGTATACCATTAAACCTGATAATTTGCCTGCCTTTGATGTATTCTGTGACCAGACAACGGACGGTGGAGGATGGACTGTGTTCCAGAAGAGACTGAACGGCTCGGTTGATTTCTACCGCTACTGGAACGACTACAAATGTGGTTTTGGTGACCTGAAAAGTGAATTTTGGTTGGGATTGGACAAGATTCACCGCCTGACCTCAAATGATAGCAACATGCTGCGTGTGGATTTGGAAGACTTTGAAGGAAACACAGCTTATGCCGAGTATAACACGTTTCATGTAAAGAGTGAGAATGACAAGTACAGGCTGATTCGCGGCTCCTATTCAGGTATAACGGTATTTTCCTTTTTATTATTACGGGGGAGGAGAGCGTAAATTGAAGTAAAGAAGCTTAAATTCTTTTACAGCAACAGTTTCCAAAGATGAAAAAAATGATAAGCTAAGCCCATCGAAATGCAATAATCCTAGACAGTGCAGACCAGACGTTGATTAAATCTGAAAGTGTTTGCCGATGGATCTTGTCCTGTTAGCCCGACGGAACAATTCAAGTCTGATCATAATTGATCTATTAGCAATATCAAGCTAGCGTTTTCATTTCACAGGGACGTTTGATAAGAATAATGTAAATTTCTATTTTATTTACTTTTTATTACCGTTAATTCCAATTTTTTTTTAGGAAACGCTAGCTCCTCTCTCTCCCATGATCGACCATTCACCACTAGAGATCGCGATAATGATCATGACACAAAACGCAACTGCGCCATTGCATTCAATGGAGCCTGGTGGTACAGCGCGTGCCATGCGTCAAATCTCAATGGCTTGTATCTTCGTGGCAATCACTCCTCCTATGCTAATGGTGTGAACTGGAAAGGCTGGAAAGGTTATCATTACTCCCTCAAGAGAACCGAGATGAAAATAAGACCAGTGGATTTCTGAACTGTCATATTTATGTCATAATTTTAATTAAGAACCTACTTTTATCAAGTCTGTTCAGCGCTAAAAAAACATTGATGGGTTTGCCGGTTTAGTGAACGTTCGTTGAACTTTCTAGTGTTGTACATATTGTTTTTCTTTTTGTTTCGTTATGAATTTCATCTCGTACTTTTTTTTGTATTGAGGGATGGATGTATCCCCCTTGCTATACGTTTTAAAAAACGTAGAAGGTTTGTCTCATATTATCACCAGCTTCTGGAAACATTAAACGATTTAGTACACAGGTGTTATTCTTTCAAAGAGACTTTATGAAGAGTAAGTGACCCGTGATTATTTTGGTGGGGAAGGGGGGAGGGGGGAGGGGGGATCGAGGGTTCTTGGTTGTGCCTATTCCCCCCTAATAAAATTCCCTGTATTTGCAATCAATGTTCTGTAATTTCCGCTTATTGCATGATTACCTACGATTACGTATCTCACTGTTATTCATGAATATTAAACGTCACTTTCGTAGGAAAAGGGCTCATAAAGTGCATTATGCTTCATTACTTCGTTAAAATACAAAATGTCCGAACGAGTTTTTTCGAACAGAAAAAAAATCAACTTGACTTTCCACATTTTTCAAAGGCATCTTGCGCGACGGTAATTCAATGACTTCAAATTATTAGATCACAAAGTTAAAACTAGTCTAGCACATAAAAAAGAGAAAACTTGTGAGCTGGAAAACTGCCCTAAATTTGAACAGCTGCAAACAGCAAGAAGGGCGGTGGCGTTTGTGTTCATCGCTTATAAAGCGGCGGTTTTCTTCTGTAGTCATAGCTACAGCACTTACACACCTGGTTTTTTGACAATAAAATTAATAGAGTAGATTAAAAAATTTCATGTGCTCCAGTACAGACGAATTCTATTAAAATGATCCATTTTTTCCACTAAATGTGCCTTTTTAGCGAGTAACTCATCTGGAAAGATAAAACTTTAATATGGAGAAATTCCACCCGATTCCACCACATTCTCCAAGGGAATGAAATAAACCCATTAGCAGGACCGCGTCAATGCTACCAATAACATAATTGAGGGAATTACTCGCTTGCGACTGAGTACCACGATAATTAGGACAAAGCTCAAACATAAATGCCGAAGACCTACCTGGCACTGAATTTGAGAGGGAAAAGGTATTTCAGCTATTATGGAGACCAGTTTTTTTATCAATGTGGTCACGATCAATTCATAGTTTTCAATTATAGCGACACAGTTCAAGCTTTTCCTTGAAGCTGTCAATGGGAATCTCTAAATTTTTTTCAGAAACTATTTCCCCACTGTTTTTTTCGCACTGGTGTTTATGATTCGCAATTTAATTCTTTTTTCTGTGTTCGTGCTCGATTTTTCTGGCGACGTTCCCTCGAAACCAGCATTAAACGAACTTAATAAGCCACCAGTTAAAAAAGCAAATAATTTTAAAATTGAGCAAACACGATATTAAACTAGAAATATTAATGTTTACTATTGTCAAACTTGACACTAATTTCTACTGGGTTTGTGTTCCAACAATTATCATCCACATCTAATCATTTGTAGCTTTTTCATAGAGTATGACTTTCTGGCATTTTGCAAAAACCCTCTACTGGACTATCAAAAGCATAAAAGACCAAAACCATGAGCTGATGAATATCAACAATTTGAACGACCGATTCGGAGGAAAAACTAAAGCGCTACTGTTCATCTCTTATTCAACGTTTCCTGTTTTGTAACCATGGTTACAGTACTTCAAATAGTTTTATTTATGATGGCACGTCGCTACTTTTAGCCACCTATATTTTGTGGAGTACTTAACACCTTCACTTTAACCTGATAGAAAAAGACCCCATATACGGTATTTTCGTGGTATAAATGTTTGGAACAATGACCATATCCTTTGACAGCCGATTTCCGTATAATTGTAGTCGTCTGAAGATTTTTCCGACGGCTCTGATTACTAAATAAACCCCCTCGGGCGGCTGGTAAATCGGCTGATGATGCCCACGGCTGAGATGTTGTCCAAAATTAGGGATGCTTGGCCGAGAAGCAGAGCCTCGAGGGAAAATGTGAAGTTTTGAGGACAATCTTTAATTTATAAAGTACGGACGGTACGTTACAAATTTATTTGTATAGATTATTATTATCTTTTTTTATATCACGCGAGATCGCTCGCTCTGATGGCGGATGCGTAGTTGCGACCAAGTTTCTAATATTTTACTGGACTCTACACATAGAATTTGTTTTCTTCTGTGTAAGATAATTGAGCTGGCTCTCTTCCACTGGCTATATTTCTTTGCAACGGAAATACCGGGGTTATAGCGTGGTAACTGTCCAGGTTTAACATTTCTCTTGAGACTCGGGAGGCTGATATATCAACTGATAATGTCCAAAATTTGGCCGAGAAGCAAAGCCTCGAGGGAAAATGTGCAGTTTTTGTGGACAATTTTTCAGCCAAGGACATTATCAGCCGAAATACCATCAAGCCAGAAAGGGGGTCGATTTATTTTATAACGTACCCTGTTATTAATTTTCATATGATCCGAAACCGCTCTTAGAAAACAAGTGCTTGTCTGATGCGGATGCGTAGTTGCGATCAGCCTTTTAATATTTTACTACACTCTACAAAAAGAGTGTTTTTCTTCCGTGTAAGATAATTGAGCTGGCTCTCTTCCACGAGCCTTGTTTCTTTTCGTCGGAAATAATCTGAGAGCAGACCGGGTTTATAGCGAGGTAACCGTCTGGTGATTTTGCATCACGTTATGTAAAGTGGCCATTAAAACGACTCGAAAATGAATGGGTGGATTACAACGATATAGGTTTGAATAACATTTCGCTCGAGACTGCCTCGCTTGTTTGGGTTCCTACAGTTATTGACCATATTTCATAATTTCAAACTTTGTGTAAGAGTTAGACTCGCTGACTTTTTCAAAAATCCTCCCGGTCTTTTATAGAGGTATTTCATTGACTATTTTACTTGTCCAATGTTACTTAGAGAAAACCAACCACCCAGAGTTAACAAAAAAGCAATGATCCGATGACTGAATATAAGTAGAACAGCTGAACAGGAAGAAGGCCTGAGGCGTTTATGTTCACCACTCATTAAACCGTTCTGTTTTGTAACCATAGTTACAGCACTTTAAACACTTCTCTATAGAGTAACAAAACACAATTGTCACTCCTGACACATCCGAACACAGTATCGAGTATGACAAACATTTTGTCAGTCAGAAGGTAAGAAAAATATTTGTGAGCAACTTATGGATATTTAACACAAATAAATTGCACTTGAATCCGTTGCAGTAAGTTAAAAGACAAACAAGTTTAAGCTAAAAACCATTCACGTTTAAACTCCAGTCATTAGCGTGATGTGTTCTGTTTTCGTCTCTACCGATGCTTTATGAAATATAATGGCTTATTGAAGCATAGAAAACAAAAATTATGTAAGTGGCTCATTGTATGCTGATGTTCCTCTTTTTGTGCCTTGAATGAATGAATTTTTATTTACTAAGGAGAAATTCCCATAATGATTACCTTTCCAAAGAGAGGAAATGAAAAAACCCATCAGCAGAATGGCGTCGATACTTTCAATAATACAAATAAAACAAAGTATTTGTTATCGAAATTTCGCGATTACGAAGAGTTCCTTTGAGGAGAAATAGCTGAACAATTGCATGACCTTTATTAGCATTTCAATCGATAGAAAAACAGGAAGTTTTATAATTTGAGACGACTTTCAATGGTCACGATCATGATTCTTACCTTGGAGTTAATTTTTAATTTATAGCAATGCAGTTGAAGTCTTTCCTTGAAGCTATCATTGGCAATATCTATATTCTTCTCGGAATAACCCTTCCACCGTGTTTTTGTTGCACTGGTGAGTATAACTACACTATTATTAAATTTTATTGCGTTTCATTTTTCTGGCGCTGCTCCCTCGAATCCATTAGAAGAAGATTAGGCCACCGGCGAACAATGCAAACAATCTTTAAGCAAGTACTTATTTTCTAACCCAAAATGTCTCCTTTTGTGCACATATACGGAGACTATTGGATACAGCTGTTCTTCACCGTATTTGAAAAAGCTCTCAAAACGTGCGCATATTTATAAATTGAAACAAACGAGTCAAAGATATTGTAGTGTGGTAATTAACGCCATGGAAATTATTCGGATATCGTTTACGCTGGTTAGCTCATCTACATAGCTCTGTTTTAATAACCAAAACCTCCCATTAGAATTGAAGTATGAAAAGATGAAAATATCCTTTAGAGAAAACTCTTTAATAAAGGTTTTCATGCAGTAAGTTGGCAAAATAGCGTGCTTTAATGTGTTTCTTTACCAATTGAATAAGACAATAAGAAATTTTGTACGAGTAAGCGATAACCTGAACGAGTACGTAATTCTATTCGTTTTGTTTTCCCCAGGTGACGATTGTCGAAACATTATATTTCGGGACCCAATACAAAACATGGCCATGAAGGATCGTGTGATCTGGAGTGCAGAAGTGCCCAATGAGGGGAGCTGCAGAGTGATGTGTTATATGGAGCCTGACTGCGTGTCTATTAATGTTGGACCTGTAGAAGGAGGAAACCAAAAATGCGAGTTGAACAACGCCACCGAGGAAAACCATGTTCCATTTCTTCTTATGAATAAACCAGGCTTCATATATCTTGCAATCGAGGTAAAATTTTACATTTTTACCAATCTGAGGGAAGTCAGACACATGATTTCTTTTCATTTCAGGTTAAAGTGATCTTATTCTTGATTCTTGTCTGAGGGGAAAGCTACAAGAGCTTTATTTAATTTGTTATTGATCAGAGGACGTTGTTTATTTTTTGGCGCTAAAGTGATTTTATTCTTGATTTAAGGAAAAGTTGCACGAAGTTTACTTTGTTTTTACCGACAGAATCCCTGCAGTAGCAGTCCATGTTTGAACAATGGCACCTGTCAAGCTGGATTCACCAGTAAAGGTTTTCGTTGTGTTTGTCGTGATGGATTCAGTGGAGAAAACTGCCAGTTGCAAGGTAGCATAACTTTCGTTTCGTTCACTAATCCTCTCGGGTTAAATGAACCATTGGAATTGGGGTAATTTACTGACTGTTTTTAAAATCTGGTAACAGAAGTAGATTTAAACTCATTCTTAAATTGATCATTGTATAGTATTTAGTAATGATTGAAATTTTATTCCTTGGACGAGTATCTAGTGTGCGCGGCGTAGAATTCTACAATTTTCTCATTTATTCATAGGCCTGAAAAAAAACTGTGCTGAAATTTACAAAGCTGGGGAAAGAAGAGATGGTATGTACACCATAAAACCTGATAACTTACTTGCCTTTGATGTATTCTGTGTGTAGTACGCAAGGAGTTACTCGCTAAAGTCCCAAACTTGACAAAATATTATTAACCACTTAAAGCTTAAAAGGGAAAGACTACAGTTGTAACTTTAAATGAATATAGCTGGTAGATATTAAGGAAAAAGAAATGGTACCAGTCAATGTTCAGCCAGAGCAATAGTCAGGAAAGCAAACAAAAAGCAGTCAACATCCAAACAATTTTAAGTGGGCGTTTTTATTTCATTTTGTTTTTTGTTTTTAGTCAAAAGAAACTGCGCAGAAATCTATAAATCCGCGGGTAAACCAGTAGACGGTGTGTACACCATTAAACCGGATAATTTGCCTGCCTTTAATGTATTCTGTGACCAAACAACGAAGGGTGGAGGATGGACTGTGTTCCAGAAGAGACTAGACGGCTCGGTTGATTTCTACCGCTACTGGAGCGACTACAAATGTGGTTTTGGTGACCTGTGTGGTGAATTTTGGCTCGGACTGGACAAGATTCACCGCCTGACCTCAGATGATAACAACGTGCTGCGTGTAGACTTGGAAGACTTTGAAGGAAACACAGCTTATGCTGAATATAACTTGTTTGGTGTTATGAGTGAGAAAGACAAGTACAGGCTGATCGTTGATTTTTATTCAGGTAGAACTGTCATTTCGTCTCTTCTATTCTAGTCATTCTAAGAAGTGGTGGGGGGAGGAGGAGAGGGGAGGGAGGGGAGGGGAGGAGAGGAGAGTGCTAACTAATGTAAATATACTTAAGCTATTGAATATAATTCAATAGCTTTGGAAGACAAAAAAGTAACCTCAGCTCATCGATATGTAATCCTGGACAGCACATACCGGACGTTGGTTAGTCCAAAGGTATTCGCCGGTGGATCATGCGCAGTTAAACTGACGAACTAATCCAACTCTGATGAGTGTCTCGGCAAACATAATTATTGGCATTATCATATTGAGTAATTCAATCTCTAGAATCTTTGACAGGAATCATTGCTAAGAATGCTTTTCAT